TCACATTTGCATCCGTAAAAACACACAAGGTCAGTGGAAGATGTGAAAACCATGAGAGGAGCTGACCACCACTTGGTTGGGGTCAAGATGAAACTGAAGCTAAAAAACACTGGACAACTGTGGAAACAGCATTACAAAGGTTCAATACAGCCTCCCTTTGAGATTATTATTATTATTACTATTATTATTAATGGCTTTATTCAATATTATATTTTGGTACAATATAGAATTCTCAGCACAGGGTATTTCAACAAGTTTCTTACACAAAAAACAGAAACAAAGACAAAAAAGGAAAAAAGGTTTTAAAAATTTTGAAAAACCGTACAACTTTTCAAATTAGAGACATGTTAAGAATGCAAGTTATTGACTAGATTAACTCTGACAACCTGTTCGTCACAGAGTTTATTTGCTAGGTAAGGTATTATAGGACTTTTACACTTTTGCTTGAGTGTATGGGTTTTAATGTAATTACGTCTCGTTCTGCCAGAAGATATACAAGGAGAAAGATAAGAGTGAAGGGGATGGTAAAATAACACTTGCCAGGAGTTTGCATGACTTTAGATGTCTATCCACAAACATATTAATTATGACCTCGAAAGATTCACCATACACCTTGCTAACTGCCTTCAGCACTCTCCACAATACAGCAGTTTTTTCTCAAAAGTCCGAGAAAGAATAATGGAGAACAGTAAAGAATAATAGGTAATATGCAAGAATTGACAAATTGTAAGAGTAAATGACGAGTAATCCCAAGAGCAAGGTAACACCAAGATAATTGACCTTCGATACCGTGTTTATCAAAGAGTCTCCAATGGTACAAGCATTATGGGATCTCAAAATGGTGTTTAGATGCCGTTCATGTCTCATGCTAAAGTTAACAGCTTGACACTTAGACGGATTAAGTATAAGACCATTACCAACAGATCAACAATCAATACGAGACAAAAACTCACTCATTCCTATGAGATACTGACAAACTCAACGAATTCAAGATAACTCTCAACAACAGGTTCCAAGCCTTACAGGATCTACTGAAAGAAGGAACTGCTATGGAGGACAACTGGCAAGGGATCAAAGAAGCATAAACTTCAAAGTGCCAGGAGGTGCTGCGTCGCAAGGAGCATAGGACATACATTGGGAAAATCATCAAACTGCATGATGAAGAAAGCACTAACTTGGAATCCTGAAAGCAAACGGGAAAAAAGGAAGACAAAAGAACACAATGAGCCGGGAATTGGAAGTAAACATGAAAAGGGTGAGTAGCAACTAGAAAGAACTGGAGAAAATTGCCCACGACAGAGTTTGATGGAAAATCCTGGTGGGCGGATTATGCTCCCCACGAGGAGTAACAGGAGTAAGTCAATAAATAAGATTGGGACTGCACGAAACCCCTATGCTACTCTGTTCTTGGATTTTCGCACAAGAAAGTCTGAAGTTTCTCAAGTTTTGCTGAAGTCCTGAATATAATCAATTGGAGATCACAAACCTTTACTAATATACGTGTGTAGTCAAAACAGTAATGATCACAACGAGAAAAAAGCAATGGAAACAATGGAGAAATCCTTACTTAAATCGAGAAACTAAGTCGTTTAAAAGTAAAGTAAATGAAATAAGTTCGACGTTGTCTCCAACATTAATTTTTGGGTTATATTAAAGCCATGCCAAGTGCTTAAGGCTCCGTAACTGACTAAACTGAAGTGTACAAATAGTATTCTATACTTCCACCTGTAAATCCCAAATTATTAACTGACAATCTCCATCCACAAACGTAGTGAAAAAAGTGGAAACACTCAACGACCACGAAACTGCAGTAAATCAGAATATTTCGATAACTAAAACTAATTATTTGATGTTGCAGAGGAAACTCATGAGACGGCTAGTTTATGTGCGTTCGTTGTTTGATAAAACCACTAATTAGGTAGAAAAATTAGTTCCAGTACAATAATTTTTCTAGGGAGCCATCTATCGACCAACAACGGGAAGTTTCCAGTTATATGAGAGATATGTGGACGGCTGCGAATTTAATTAAAATCTGGAGGAGTGTCTAGTAAAATAAACTGGTACTGGAATTAAGAGCGAATTAGGATTTACAGAAAAGGCCACATACCTCCATAGAATAATCAATATATAGAAACTTTACTTGGAATAACTAGGATAAAAACTTTCAAAGTCATATCCCTTTGGGTAAGAAGAGTGACTTAATTCGACTTCTTCCTAGGTCATCAGACGAATATGGAGTGACAATACAATAGACGACAAACTAGCTGAATCCCTTCAGATACTCAACAAAAGTGGTCATCTTGTTTGGTTCGCTAACTCGATGAAACATATTCGTACATTAGCTCCAGGAAAGTTTAGAAAACTTTACAAAAAACGTATTGCTGACTCCACAGGTTGCACCAAGTGGTCATTTTCATGAATAAACAGAATGATTCGGGGAATGATATCCAAGCGTGGTATGACGAAAGTCCTACATCATCACTAGTGAAAGACGTTATCGAATCCAAAGTATTTTATGACTGTTTTGACGAGATACATACACCGTAAACTCTCCTCAGAGCATCGGTCAAATAGTTTAAGCTGCCATATGAGTACAACTACCATTGAAGAAATAAACATTCTTGAACTACAAAGTAAACTTGATATAGAAAAATCAGTGGACTCAAACGAAATTTATCCTAAGCTACCGATAGAACGCAAGTCCTTTGTGGCAAGACATTCGAAGTTAATAATATCTTACTAGTTTTTTAGTATCTCAGTGAAGCTGGTTTAACCCAAAAAATTTTAAGCACCCAACATACGCAGCTTGTTACCTCGCCTTTTGATGAAGTCCCACATAAAAGACTGGCATACAAGTTTAAAAATATCGAAATCAGGAGAAATTTACTTCTGTGAGTAAACAACTTTCAACTTGAACATAAACAAAGGGCACTACAAGGTGTCTGACCATGAAACAGCATATAGGGACGGCAACCAGGGTACATTTCTAGAATCATCGTCATTTCTTTCATGCGCATACGACCATTTTAGTTTTGTGTCATCATCGATCTCGTTATGTTAGAAAATAATCTAAACAACAAAATATCGACCAAATGATGAAAATACTATTTTTTTACAGTCATTGGTCACCCAGTACACAGGAATTCTAGTTAGTAAAAGGCTTCCAGTTACTCAAACATAACAAATAAATCAGCCTACAAAATGTCAATCAGATAAACTGAAACTGTAAACGAGTTTTTCATTAGTGACGAATAAGACTGTTACCATTATAATGAATATTTACATACGCAAGAAAAACTAATCTCTTATTTGATCTAAAATGATACTGTTTGTAGATCTGTCACCAACACAGATGTGAAAATCTACTCATAAACTAGTTCACACTAAAGTAGTGTTTAGAGTTTTTGATGAAATATTTTGGTATTAATTAGTTTAACACTCAATAACGCTATTCAAAATATGCTATGTACTTTAATTCTTAAAGAACAGGACTCAGAAAGGAAGCAAAAACTTAGAGTTCTAAGGATTAAAGATTTTCATTATACAAAGATAATCCTATAACAAAATAACAAGGATTCCCAATATTTTAGATAATTATACGCTTATGATAAGTCAAAATCAAGGGAAACATGTATAGTCAAAATAAAAAAGGGATTTAGATTGGACAGAAATATTACTTATAGTTAGGCAAATGTTTTCGACCAAGAAGGTGGCAAGTAATAACAGAACCTAAAAAATTAATTGTAATAAATATGCAAACAGTTCAAATGAATCTGATTTACATTTTGTATACTAACGTTAAACATTTTCAGTAATCTTGTCCAATAGCATCACTGTAAAAGAGCGAAATTTAGTAAAAACACTTAGATTGCAGAGGCCTTTTAAAATCATAAACGAATTTTTGGGAAACAAAACACGTCACTTTTAAAAAGACCATAATTTGAATACTAAGGTGTGATTTCGGATTTATTCCGGCGTAATGCATACAGAATCCTGAAGTTATCAAAAGATTACTGTATCCAAAGCTTTCACTTTGATCCAATCGAGGACGTGATCAAAATGTATTACATAAGACTTATTTGTTTGAAAGTAATTGAAAATTGACCATTGTTTCACACAAATTTTGAATAGTTTAAGTATAATGCTTCTCATACAAAAGTGGGTTTTCATTTGTAAATTATCAAATTGATACGACTTAAATCATCCAAATGTATAATTTATAGAACATATGTGATCGCAATCTGACAAACAGGAACGTTAGCATAGAGCGAATGTAAAGGTGAAGAATAATTTTATCATTTATCAGGTATGACTACCAGTTCGACATAAAAAAACAATGAGTGAATTAGATTTTGACTACCAACAAAATGAAAAAAATATTTCGAAATACATTCAGAGACAAACATACATAAGTATCAAAATAGTACGACCATAAATAAAAATTGAAAAGAAAGGCTATATGAATAAGAAAACCAGCTCATGAATTGAAACATGTTCAAAGTTATAAAGATTCAATTATTTGAGACAGTACTATTAAGGTCAAATTTGACACTCCAACCATACATTCTGGTTCGAAAGTTCGACATGATAGGTCAAACGAGCATACTTACAAAAGCCAAGGTATATTTATCATCCAGTGTAAACTGTCTTAACAAAAATAATTAATCCTTGACGAATAACCTATAGCATTTTCAGAAAAAAATTAAATGTCATTTGGTCTTGACTGGATTCCACTATAGTTTAGACCTACTATACACTATAACAATATGAGAAATCAGGACATGATGCTTGATATTTGCGTATCGATCCCAATCGCTACTTTTATTTGTATCTAAGCAACAATTGCACCAATTGATTGATATTTTTCATGAAAGCTATTCAACAACATTTGAGTTGCCGATTAGTGATTTAAACGGGATTCAGCACAGTCTTATTAAGAAAATAAATAAAAAGTTTAAATCTAAACATATAATACATAAAACATGGTAATAATCTTGTACCTTAAATCCAAAACTCGAAGTTGATCACCCTTTCGTGCGCTAACTTCCTCTGATGTATGAGCTTCATAGTCAAAAATGGCAACGTGATAGTATTCACTGTTATGGGAGTTTTCTTGTGTAAGAGGGTAGAACTTCTTCGAATTAATACATGGACCAACCGAACCCAAACTAAGACGACTGGATGAGCCAGCACTTGGAGGAAAATAAGGCTGATGAACAAGATAACGAGTTGAAAGACCACCAACGGAAGAATGATGATCTGAACTACCATTTTCCATAAAAATTGTTGCAGCAGTGCTAACTGTTCCTCCATTTTGCTCAAGATTCTTCAGACGATTGGAGTCAACAACAACAGATGATCTATACGGTTTGTCCGATTTGTGAGTCCCTGAATCGATTGTGAGTGGGGATTCCATTGCGCTTCGAGTGACACTTGCACAGCCACTTCGGGAATACCTGTTGCCAACCAAGAAAGGCATAATATTCAACGAGGAATGTTGTTGTAAATGCGAATGTGATTGTACATGGATATTACTCCGATGTGGTGAACTTAGTTTCTGCATAGTAATCTCATCTGATGGCTTACTTGAGGAAACGCACCAGTGAACGGGACTGACAGGATGCTTATTATCTAAGTAATCGAAATTCGCACTGTTTCGTACGCCAGAATGATGAACCCTCATATCTCTTGTCATCTGCTCTAAAGCCAATCTCGGAAAGTGAAAGCTACTAGAAAGTACTGTTTCCTGAAGACCTTCAGTGCAATGGCTTCCTGCGAAAACATTGACAAGAGAAGTTTTCGGAGTTGATAGATTGGACTTGCTCCCAAAAGACAAATCTCTCCCAGTAGAAAATCTCTCGCGAGTTACGCTGGATGAAACTTTTTCATGCTCTTTTGTTATTCCGAGTTCATTTATTAATCCGTCTTCGTGAATTACTTTTAAAGAATTAGATTTGAAACTATCACACAAGTCCATAGGTTGAGAACTTGTTCTCACGACATATTTGGAGGTCTCACACGGATTATGCAACGAATTAACATCGCTACTTTGTTCTGTAGGAGGAGGAGAGACGTGCTTTCCTGCACAATTACCCATTAAATGCTACATATGTCATATCGAACAAAAAATCTGAAAATGTGCTCATTTCTGACCTTCGAAAGACTAATATTTTTGAGTATAAAAACAAAATACCATAATAATGAGTCAATCATCAACATAAATACTCTTCTTGACGTCAGAAAAGCTTTCAGAAAAATGTAAGCATCCTCTGATATTATTTTCGCTGCATCGCAGCTGCCGTTATCAGTTAGATCGGAATCATTTTAAGGTGATACAATATTATGTAAGTTGAATCGAAACAATTAATGCATTGAAACTTGTCAATACGACGTCACCCATCACCCATTTATTTCACAGCAACGGAATTCGAGTAAAATAGTTTGAAAAATAAAGAGAGCAGAAAGGAAATAAAAGATGGGATTAAAATGGGAATGGACTAATCCATTGAAATTAGTGATAGTCATAACGGCAGTAAACATTATTGCGAAAATGTGAGAAGAAACGTGGGACGTTAAACCTATATCCAGAAATCAAGCCGTGTTTTCGACGTATGTTTCCTTTAGAACATCCTCCACCATTCAGGATAGAAACGTTTAATTCTTCAGTAAGTGTGGAATATCTCCCCCCCACCCGCTTTTGAAATACTTTAACAAGTAAGGTGTGATCACATAGGACAAGGTTGCATATTATCTGTCAGACATTCACCATGTGACCGAAGACCCTTATGATCCACAAAAATCGGACAAAAATAAATATCTTCGAATCTGACAGCTCAAAGACAAACAAGTGAGAAACAACGACGATTGAATGGATGAAATTGTTTTATCGTACCTATTGTTTGATATGACTTACACCAAGTCAGAAGACCGATAACTGATTGTCGATTCCATCGAATGGCTATGACCATGACGTCTTCATTAAATTGAGGAACAATCGTGGCAGAATGTAGATGTACAATCCAACGTGGAGAACCTGTGTCGGTCGGATTCTAAAATGGGAATATAATTCATTGGGGATTTGTTTTTAAAAAAACCATAGTTAAATCCCTGACATTGATGCCCCGACGATCATTAACATGCCTTTTTACAAACAACTGTATTACGTACAAAGCAATGGAGATCAGAAGGATGCCCCGACTGAAACAGTATTGAGTAACACTACACAAGCGATAGCTCTGGTAAATTGCTTGAGCCTAATCTAGACGGGCTACTTAGTCGCGGATTCTCGCAGTTCAGGAGACCTTTAACCCAGTTCAGTTTTACGAAACGTCCTTACAATGCTTCGTGGTTTTCAATAATGGCCTAACATAGATCGGTTCATGATTTCAATGAAACACAGACAAAACAGAAGATTTATTCCTTAGTATTCTAAAGGTGGGCGGATCGGCAAAGCAAGAGCAGCATATTTACAACTGAAGAACATCTGGAACTCAAAACAACTATCAACCAACACCAAGGTCAGGATTCCCAGTACAAATGTCAAGGCAGTTCTACTGTATGGAGCAGAAACCTGTAGAACTACGAAAGCCATCATTCAGAAGATACAGGTGTTTATCAACAATTGTCTACGCAAAATGCTTCGGATCCGTTGGCCGGACACTATTAGCAACAACGTACTGTGAGAGAGAACAAACCAGATCCCAGCGGAGGAAGAAATCAGGAAGAAGCGCTGGAAGTGGATAGGACACACATTGAGGAAAGCACCCAACTGCGTCACAAGACAAGCCCTCACATGGAATCCTGAAGGCCAAAGGAGAAGAGGAAGACCAAAGAACACATTACGCCGAAAAATGGAAATAGACATGAGAAAAATGAACAAGAATCGGATGGAACTAGAAAAGAAGGCCCAGGACAGAGTGGGTTGGAGAATGTTGGTCGGCGGCCTATGCTGCATTAGGAGTACCAGGCGAAAGTAAGTAAGTAATTCTAAAGGTGAGATAGGAGTGATCTAATTTGCTGTATACCTGTAGAGCGTCTTCCAGGACTATGAAAGTACGCAAAGGTATGTTGGACAACCAAGTGAGGAGGTGTGCTAATCTCCACGACTATTTGTCTAAGACAAGATGGCTTCAACAAATGCGAATCACGTACAGCGAGGACATTTTCAGCACGCGATAGCTCACTACACTTTCGAGATCATAAAATAATTATATATGTGCTGTTTCAGACATATGCAAGCGCATTTATTACACGTCCATAGGCTATCTTTTCAGCAGAAAAAAATCGAGTGAGTTGTGCTGGTTTTTCATGGATAAGAAACCACCTACAGAACAAATCATTCTTCGATAAAATTGTTATAATAGGGAGAGAAGGCAATTTGTTAAAATATGAAAAATAACAAGATCGGAATATATAATATAAAATAGGGATGAGATGGACATCTTTATGGTAGATATCGCTGGTGTCCAGGGTTATTGATAACAACAGCCTCATGTAGTGCTTCGTTGAGGTTTCAGGAAGATAGTGACCGCCAGCGTTTTCGTCAATGAAATTCGTTTTTGTTGCCTAAGCTCTCGCCACTTGACATTTTTCGGTGTTAACTATCAAGCCCTTACCGTACATCCATTTGTTCAGCGTCGTTCGGTTGCTTAGTAACCTCTGGAGTTGTGTTGCACACAAGGGACAAGTTGTTATGCAAACACAATGCACCCACAAGACATTTCATCAATTTGGTGAGTAACTGACTCCAAATTGTCAATTGACTTGAGTGATGCTATATAGTTAGATTAGTTATATTTTTAACTGGACAAAACAACTTTCAGTCACAAGTGGTTGAATGTGTTGATTTTTCCTTCAAGTTATTTCAAGCACTAAGCCAAAATTCAGTCTTAACATTATATGTAAAACAATAATACCAGTTGAAAGAGGTTCAATGTAACATATGCCAATAAAATAGAGATACTAAGACAAGCCTAACAAACGTAATCAAAATGAAATCATTTATGCACTTATCAGTTGATAATTATTGTGAAGCACTGTCTTATTTTGTGGGTTATCGTGGAGCACATAGAACCGTAAAGTTCGTCTGCTACAATTCATAAAAATACAACTACATTAGCTAGAAGTTATCTACAAACCAGTTGCAGACAATAAGCCAATTCATTATGCCTATGATAAATTTACTTTCATCTGCTATAAATATTGTCCCGTGTTTATTCACTTCTGTGCACAACAGAATGAACGAATCTTTTTTGAATGATGTGAATTTGGAATAAAGTGCCAGAATTTGCATGATGTGCGTGCTTATGAGTCACACAGCTATTTATGCATTTAAATGCTTAAATTTCTCTTTGAATCCAGTTATAAACTTCAACTAATGAGAGACGGTGTGTTTAGTGAGAGACTTAGAGTGAAGATCTACTACCTCTTACTCAACGGGTACTTGGATCTAAGCTGCTGATATAAGAATACGAGATCCATCTTTCATATATGAGGGCCCTACACTATGCCAGAGTTATGTTAATTCTAGGCTAAAAATGTGACAACAGCTGGGCTTGATTCCACACAAATCATGCGAGAATGAAGGTTTTATACTTCAGCTGAGTACTTTTAATGCGTCATATATGACATACGTATGTAAATTTGTTATAATGCAACGACCTGATATATCAAATCTTACATCGAAGTCACATAATTGACTACACTGACTCGTCTCATCTTGAAAATCAGCAATATGTTGTTACGTGCTTCTGAACAACACATTTTGACTGGAGATGACGTAATATATTTGATGTGGAATGATATGAGTTACACAGAATGGCCACGCCTGCAAGTCTGAGCTATGTCATATCATACAATTCCCTCGGTAATCAAATATTCTGCATCAAAGGTCGTGTATTACGAGCCAATATGACCACATGTACACTGTCTTTGCCAACCATGTCGAGTCATAAGCGCTATATGTTCCGGGATAACTTATATTATTAAGTCAACCATGAAACACTATGGGAGGTCCTATGCCTATATGTCACAAATTCACTTCTATAACACCATAATAGTATGGGATTTTTCCAACTCACTTTACGAATTATATGGACGGATTATATCCCTGTTCTTATTTCGGCACTCTGTATAATATTGAGTATCAAGAAACAATCTCGCTTTAGTTAACCATATCCATGCATTGTAGTAGGAGAACCTGACTTCCTTTCGGCGTTTTTGAAAGTGAGTTCAACGTGATCAGTAACCGGAAATATCAGCCTTTACACTGACATATTAGTATATTTAAATGCTTCCAAGTTTATGCATTGTCTTCACCTTGATGGTAGACAGCCAATACTACAAATCCGACCATAACCATAAAAACGTGGAAGCAATGCGTGGTAGGTTTAGCCAAACACTTGACCATAAGAACAACAACCCGGAATCACACACCAACGAAATGACCATGTGTTGATAATATCTCAGTATATATTAACACTAAGAATTTGTGAGTGAGCATTTGGAGCATAGCTCGCAAAAAGACAGGAAGTGAGGGACATAAATGCTTGACAAACCGGAAAAAGGTAGACTGTTCGCAGTAAGCAAAACTGAAAAATGAAACCCAAGCGAAATGTTAGTAAGGGTGCAGAAAAGACCAATTGATCTATACACGTTCGTTATAAATGCTGTCAAATATTGAGCATTGTACACATTTTTCCAGGCTATTTACTTGGTTGTGATGTGTGCGACTTTTTGGATGTCGTTTACTTTTCGGCGTTTTATTATGATTACATTTCGGGATAATTCTCGGATCTATCACAAGATCTAAGTATGAGAACTGAGTTGGAATTTATCAATTCTGGGATCGATAGTATTAACGGTCTTAATTTGTCTCCAAATATAACGGTGTTGAATTTGCACCACAATCGCATTTCAAAGATAAATGGACTCACAAAAGCGACATCGTTGCGTTATTTGGATTTATCTTCTAATTATATTAGTAAGATATGTGGACTCGATAATTTGCAGCATCTTCGAATTTTGAACTTGTCATCCAATAAGATTCGGTCCATTGATTCATTAGAGAACTTAAAGTAGGTTTAAATGCTTATATCT